TAAGAAATTATTCACAAACCAATCTCATTTTCTTTTTAATTGATCAATTTGTTGATGTTGTTGTTTTGGTGTGACAGACATCGCAGGATTCCTGATCCTTTTCCCTCAATATCGTTCATTCGGGTGCACTCGTTTCGGCCTCCATGGCCAGCCAAGGCCGGCTGCCAGTCAGCTGATAATCGAGTTGTCTTAACTCTGGGTATAAAGGGACTCTAGGTTTAGATGGCAGCCTGCTGTGTGAGCCCAAGTAAACCTAACCTATATCAACTTCAAAACGTTCCGGGTCTCTAACACTGGTCGGCCATTTGCCACCACCTTCTGTATTTGCTCTATGCGCTCTGCTCTGGTGTTGTTATCACCATCACTGGTTATCACTAGAATTAGAGTACTCCACACTAGAGCTATATGGGTACTTTAGTTATCACTTGGTGAACTATCAACTATCACAGGAGAGGAGGGTAGCGGCCTTGCTCTGAATTGAATATTTTCATTGTAATTATGTATTGTAACCAAAGCATTTAATCTTGTACATTTAATTGTGATACCTATCTTCGTTTCAATTCGGGGTTTAAAATCTTGAAGTCATGGAAAAATCCGTCGAATGGCAGCAACATTTGCGGGTCAATGCTTCAGTGAATAATCCTCAGCACTTTTTCCAATTTAATCTTGAAGCACATAATATTTGCTTTTAAAATTGAAACATCAAGGTCTGGTATCTGCGTCCTTACCTGCACTTTCCAATCAGTTTCAAAGAATGACATTTACCGAGAGCATTGATAAATCATTGAGCCAGGAAATTAGCTGCTCAAAACTCAACACGAGGTGAGACCTCTTACTAATACCTACCATGTGGTAAACAGGGTTGTATAAAATTGTTTGGATCATAAATAAGTCTCAATCTTAGCGTCGGAGGGAGGGGTATCGTTAAGGGCCTTCCCCCCCCCCCCTAGAATCTGTAAATTTATGCAGGTTTTCCAAGTTGACTCTGTAGTTTATGGAAATAATCATGCTTTGGACCACTAGGTATGTGTTACAAAGTTGCCTGAACGTATGTCTGCAGGCGCATTTTAGTGGAAAATGCATGTTTTTCTATAACACCCAAGGCTTTGTTGACACCGAGCTCCTCGTCTAACTAAAACGAGCCGTTGATATGTCATCAAGGAGGCTTTAGGACACATTTTAACCCTGGTTTGGTTTTAGTTAGATGATGTGCTCACAGTTTAAAAAACCATTCTCAAAAGTTGACTTTTAAGGGACATCCTCAAAAATCTCAGGGAAACACGTTGTTAGGGGGTTTTTTTTGGCTAAAATTGAAGAAAATCTCCTTGTAAGACTCTAGCAGGGCTTGATAAATGCCCTCAATAATATATGTAGCGTACATACAGGTGGAGAGACATGTTTCCCCAGGTAAGATTTTTGCGGATGTCCCTTAAAAGTCGAATTTTGAAAAATTTTCTTTTAACTATGAGCCCATCTTCTAACTAAAACCAAACCAGGGTCAAAATGTGCCCTAAAGCCTCTTTGATAACATATCGAAAGCTCGTTTTAGTCAGACGATGCGTTCGGTGCCAAAAAAGCCGTGGAGTGATAGAAAAACACGCATTTTTCGCAAAAATGCACCGGCTGACGTATGTTCAGGCACCTATATAACAAGCATCCGGTGGCCTATGGACCAAATTATGATTATTTCCGTAAACTGCATGGAGTCAATTTGGAAAACCTGCATAAATTTCCAGATTCTGGGGGGGGGGGGGGCACAAAAGGCTTTCATCGATACCCCGCCTTTCCATACTTTTTGAAATTTTTGGGCGCTACGTCTACCCACCCAATTAAGACATTGTGTCAGCAAGTGAGCATTTTTGCATACTTTGACACCTGTGAGCGAGCCGGATCCATATTTCTTCTGTTCAATGAGAGTAGTTGTAGCGTTTAGCTGCTAGCCTCAAATTCCTCATCCTCTCCTGACCCTGAGCTGTTCCTTCTCTCTCTTTCCTCTTCTACCCTTTGCTCATTCGTTTCAAAATAGCAAATGATAGCCCCAAACGTAAATTTAACTCTCTGTGAAGAATTGGATTGTTTTGATCATGGACCTCCTTGATCACAATCCAGTTTCCAGAAAGGGTCCAAATTAAGTTCAAACGAGAGAGAATCTCAAAATTATGTAAAAAGATATGTCTGTATTTTAATATTTGGGTTTAGAAGAGGGAATTGTACCCCATATCCCAAGAATTGCCAAGTTTCATCTTTGGTAGGTATCATCTATTATTTCACATTTTCAAGTGTCGGTTATGCTGTGAGCTGTGTCAGTTATGCTGTGTCGGTTATGCTGTGTCGGTTATGTAACCAACACAATTTGGCAGAACTGCCACGTTTGCGTGGACCATCAGCAGTCCTGTGGGTAGAGCTGATGCCTGATTCAATGGCTATTGTTTGTCAACTTCTATAACTTTGTACTGAATCAAAATAGTTCGTGCCAAAGCTGGAAAAAGGAAATTCCATACCTTTAAAATGAAGTACCTACCTAATGAAATTTATTTAAAAATAATGCGCTTTTATTTTCAAGGTTTTGGTACATTTTAGCGATTCCTGTTATCATGAAATCACCCACACATTCTGTGTTGTTTCAAGTGAAATTTTCAAGGGCTCTCCTACTAAAAAAAAAAAAAAAAACGAAAAAAAATAATGATAATAAAAAAAAGTCTAGGTGATAGCTTTGAGCTGATTTTTCTATCAAAATATTTTCATTTTTTCAAGGGGTAATTACTTAATGTTTTCAAATAATTTGTATGAAGATAACCCTGCTTTTTTGGTTACAGGAAAAATGTTAGCAATGGATTATGGTTAACAGTGCTTTTACCAAGTTGTGTCATTACCAGTAGCTTCAAGTACTCTCCCACCTCTGAAATTTACAAGACAAGTTCAATCATCACCATTGGCTTATTAATCAATGCTCTGTTTGGACTGTTTCATCGGGAGGAAAAACCTTTCAGGCAGATCGGCCTAATTGTGTCATCTTTAGTCTTGTCTTTGATTTTCACTCTGTATGCTGACCATGGTGAGTCTTAGTGTGCCTAGTTTTAAATCCTTAATGGACCACTCGACAAAGTGCCAATTTAAGCATCATGATGATGTGCCTGGTTACTTATTAAAATTTCTTTTACAAGACAATTCGTTCAACAAGCGTCATTGAAAACAATAAAAAACTCAATATTAGCGTTTGGGCTCAGCTGTTGCACGATGTATACACTTCGAACAACAAACAATGGGGAAGGATCACTGCTTGATTAGGAGGCCTACCAAAACCGCTGTAGGTAGTGCTGAATTTTTTACCTGTAAACTTTTGGTTTTTCTTGAGAAAGGAGGTATATTTCAAGACCTGTGATAAAATTATAACATCTTGATTTGAAATGAATTTCAGTAATTCTTATTACAAAAATCGTGTTCTGTGTGAAATTTTGAAGAAGATATAAGTATCAGAATGCTCAAATTCGTACCTGAGTGATTTCACGATAACAGGAATAGGTAAAATGTGCGACACCTTAAAAATAAAAGTGCACCAATTTTAAACAAAATTCATGACTTCATTTTAAAGGTATTGAACTTCCTTTTGCCAGTTTTGGCATGAAATATTTTGATTCAGTACAAAAGTTACAGCGATTGATTAAGAGGCGATTGAATCAGGCATCAGCTCTTCCCACAGGACTGCTGGAGGTCCACGCAAACGTGGCAACTCTGCCAAATTGTGTTGGTTACATAACCGACACAGCATAACTGACACTTGAAAATTTGAAATAATAGATGATATCAAAGATGATACCAAAACTTGGCAACTCTTGGGATATGAGGTGGAATTAATGCTGCCTTAAAAGTTTTCGAAACTTTGGAGACTTCTTTTCAGTTTAATAATATTAAACTGAGGATTTTGTGTGGTGAGGAATTGGTTTTATTTTTTTTTATCTTTATTTTTTTTTTATTCAGTATTATACAGGGTTATTCAAAAGTCACGCATCACTGGTCATAACTTTAGATCTAATCATGATGTCGATTTGCGGTTTCAGACGTTTTTCCTCATATCGAGGGGAAAACTTGTTTAAGTACTTTCCCGTTTTTGATCCCCTTGGGGCAGGGGAGCGTAGGGCAACTCAAAAATATCAAATGGCCAACCCCCTAGTGGCCAGTGGTGCGAGAGGTTTGAATAACCCTGTATAAATGATAATTACACAATACACTATAATGCGCAGACCTATACGTGGTCTTTTTACATTTTTTCTTACCTTAGCAAATATTTACAAATTACAATTTCACTTTCTAGATGGAACGGAAGTTAGGACTGATTAAGTTAGTTTGGAATTAAATTAACAGGAAAAACAAGGGCATAGAAAAAAAATTACTAAAAAATTAATACCTAGACAGGGACTGTAACTATGGGAGAGATTAAACAAAAACTGAACATGAAATAAGCAAAAAATAGAAAGAGGATGGTGGCGAAAAGTAATAAAAAACCTAACTATATTAACATGAGAGGGGCTGAACCGGGTTAGCGGTAAGCCTTGATTTGATGTTTGGGATGTTCCCTTACCGACATAGGTTGAGGGGAACAGAGCCCTTAGTGGAGGGGAACTTAACTGGACCTTTCCGAAGTCAGGTGTGTAAAGCTCGTGCGGCTTCCTACGCTTTAAACACCTGGTCTCCCCCAACCCGTCCAGAAGCTGAATCGCCTCTGGATTGGGGTGGGATTCCAGGCGCTCCTCATATCTTTCCTACATACAAGAGATGAAGAAGTCCAGACATTCTATACCGAGTTCGAATCTAATATCTACATGTCTCGAATACCAAGGTGCATTTGCAATTTGTCTTAAAATTTTATTCTGGACTGTCTCCATCTTCTGTACCTATAATATTGTATTTACGGTGTTTGTTGTATTGTATATTGGAATTTGCTGCGCAAGCCCACAACTGACAGGCATACGCCCATATCGGCCTTATTATGACTTTGTATAGAAGAATTTTATTACGGAGGCTTAATTTAGACTTTTTACCGAGCAACCAATACATATTGAGCAATTTAAATTCAATTTGTTTTTTTCCCCCTATTAGTATGTTCACTATAGTTTAATTTGGAGTCTATGATAAGGCCGAGGTAACGGGCTGCTTTAAATTCTGGTATTGGTTCTCCATTTAATACTAGAGGTATGTGGACATATTTCCTAAGTGTGAAGATCACAATTTTTTATTTGGCCGGATTCAATTCAGACCCATCGACATCCGTCTGAGGGTGCTCGTGAACTTGGTGGCCCTAATAAGGGCCGTATTTGACCAAGGCCAATCGGCCGAGTTTGACATGATTCCCAGGAAAAATCTTTGAAAGTTTCTCGATCAGGCGCTGATAATTCATCCTGTCGAAAGCGTGGGTGAGATCCATCGTTATAATATTGGCGGAAATTCCTTTTGACCAGAGTGCAGCAACTTCCGAACCATGCGAAGAATCAGGTCGCCTGACATGAGGGACCCTCACGAGAACGGGAAAAAAGAGGAGGAATGAGGGAATCTCTGAAAAGTTATTGGAGAATAGGGGACTGTGGCATTTAGGTTTTGCAGGGTTACTTCAAATAATTTTCAACGTTTTTTAAACTTTTTGTCCTTACCGTAGACCCTAAACGACAACTTAAATTCAAGGAAAATAAAGTTTTAAATTCTCATAACCGTTTTTTGCTGTCTTAACTTACTAGATCACATTATATTTTTGATAAATTGAAAGAAGATCGCTGTCAAAAATTGAGCTGAGTTCCCCCTAGATTTAGCACTTTTTGTATGGTCTACAGTTAGGATAAGAACAATTAATTTTGTCCTTACTATAGACCATACAAAAAGTGCTAAATTTAAGGGGAACTCAACTTCTGATGGCGATGTTCTTAAATCGTGTCAAGTATGAAATGTGGTCTAGTGAATTACGACGGCAAAAAAAAGGTCATGAACAGGTAAAACTTTATTTTTTTTTTAATTTAAGTTGTTGCTTGCTAATCAAAAGTCATCATTGTGCCAACTTTTTACGAGGCATTGTTTTCGCAGTATTTCGCACAGTCCGTTCTGGAAGTTTCGATAATTACCTGAATGAGTGAAGCCAGCGCGGCGATTTAACAAGGAAAACCCAAGTCGGTGATAGGCAAGAAAAAGAGTGATTGAGAGAAAGATTCTGATTTGGACGATGAAACTAAAAGGTGCAAGGAGTCCGAGATAGAGTCCATTGTAAGGACAAAAAGTTTAAAAAACTTTAAAAGTTACTTGAGCCAACCCTGTAGAGCCCCAGAGAGGGCAAACGAAGTGGCTCTTTTGTATGTGTGCAAGGTGTCATTCTTTATTATTCCATCTAAAGCAACATTTTTCCAAGGTAAAAAAAAAAAAACAAATTACATTAGGTGATCAAGTAGGGGGAAAAACAAGTGAATCTACAACAGGCATTTATGCAACGCATGCTTTTGCAGGAAACGCTAATTTTGAAACATTTACTAAATAGTTTTTCAGAAGAGAAATAATAATTCAAAGAAATTGTAGAGAATTCAGTATGCGGACCAATGGTTCCATTCTCCTAGGATTGGTGTTAGCTGGGTTGTTAAATTCTTATCAGAATTTTCCAGCAGTATTGGCGCGTATAGGTACGTAGTATACCGCCTTTGTGATCGTTTCGACCCCCCACTCGATACAATAACCGAGTCCCTTAGTTCCTTACCGGAAGGTGACTGCCGCGAACTTCTGAGATTTTCCAAAGCGTGTAAAAAGTTTACTAATCCGTCGATAGTTATGATTTAAAGTTTTTTCTCATTCTGGGACTTTCTAGTTTATGTGCAATGAATACCAAAAGTCTACGTTACTTGGTTTTTTTAAAAACAACCTAAGAATGCTCCGCGCTAATTTAAAATATGCATATATAAGCAGAAGCTAACGAACTGATTCGAGGATGGCTGAGCAGTTTGGCACTCTTCGAATGAGAATTTCACTCCTCCGTTTTGTTCAAAACGTTGCTTTTATAGATCTCCACACCCCTGTTATGCTTTTCAAAATTTGGTACCATTGCTCTGATAGCCAGGGCCAGCCACCACAGCCGTAAGTGCAATCTGTGATGAGCCTCGAGACTTATTAGATCATTTGCTAAACCTGGCTCATACAGGAAGCTACTTGCACTTATAGAAATATACTTACCCCTCTCTTCCTCGCCCGCCAGACCCCTGCGTCGGCGTCTCGGGGAGAGAATGGCCCGGCTCTCGGCGAGGCGGCCGCCGGGACCCGTTTACTTAAGCTCGATTAATCATTTCACCGTCACGCTAGGATTCGCCCAATTTTCAAGAAAAATTGTTTTGCGTGTACATAGTAATTTTTTCCTTTCTCTCCGTTAAAACACGAATTAAAAGAGGTCTCATTCATAAAAATCGGCCGAATAGAAGAGAAGTTACAATATTCGAAATCCGAAGAAATCAACAAAACCTCGACCTCCCCATGTAGAAAATAAAATGAAAGGCGAAAAAAGAAATGTATAAATGACAATTAAATATAATTGACCTCAGAATTCGACAAGCAATTCAATTATATAACGGAAAAATTGGGAGAAATCACAAAAAATTCGCCTCTTGCAAGGGGCTTCCTTGTAAGAATTTTGACCTGAAGACAAGGGTCGAATAGCAGCAGTACTCCATACAATACACAGTGTGCCTCAACGAGTTAAACATTTTCTAGATGTCCAAATCGAAAATTCTTTATATTGTTAACTACAGTGTCTCTTGAGTCCTTTAAGCCNNNNCCCCCCCCCCCCCCAAAAAAAAAAGGAGAAGTCCGTCAAGATTCTGGAAAATAAAAGCGCTTTAAAAGAACCTATTTTGGGGCTATTATAGCTAAATAACCGGTAGTAAATCCCGTTATATTATCAAAAAGAAATTGACACCATAGTTTAATGCCTTAGTTTCTTAAATACGATTATTTCAAGCACTCGAACATTTATACCACAAATTTTAGCCATGGGGTGATTTCCTGAGAGCCGATAATATCACGAATTTCTCATACCTAGAACCTTTCAAAAATGGCTTGCTTTTTGAGCAGCCGATTCGGTCATCGAACCGGAATTTAAATGGAAGCTGATAATAACACAAAGCTCTGAGAAAAATTTTGAGATGAGTAGGTATAGGAACGGTTTGTAAATAACGAGGAGAGGCAGGCAAGGCGGCTAAAATTCGATCTAATTTTTGCCGTTATTCTGTTGAATTGACGTTGCCGCGGACTGCTAACTGTGTCCACACATGGTTTCTGTTCAGCATATCGATACGTAAGTATTTTTACACGTAGAATCTAATTTTCACGTCAGGGAGTCGACACATTTCGATTTTTTCGATTTTATAATGAAAATTGATGGTTTTTCGGGATTGAAATTATTATTGTTTCATGGAAAATAAGTGCACCCAAAATGACTATAGCATATTGACTTTTACATATGTGCACTCACGAAATTGATTGGTAAATTCAACGAGTGGGTACATCGACCTGGTATATCAAGTTTCTGCAATTTTTTACGGCAAATCGATAGATTTTCGGGATGTAGATTGCTTACTTTCAATTCATGAATGAATAAAGCATGGACATGGTTGAACTTCTTTGCATGGAAAGACGTTTAAAATAACAAAATCAAGACATACAGGGTGTTCGAAAAGTCCCCTCCCCCCCTCTAACTTTTGACCTAATTGAGGTAGAGATTTGAAACTTTGAGGGTGTTCCTAGATCAAAGGGAGCTACTTTTTGACCCTCCCAAAATTTTGGGGGGTTACGGACCCTAACTTTTTTTTCAAATGTAAAGACCCCCTTTGTGATACCTCGTTCGAAAGAGCATAAAAACAAGTTCAAAATGGCCGAAAATTGGCATTTCTATTAGTTGCACACGGATTTGCTTGAAACTCGGTTATACGAGGTATTTTGGCACGAGAACAACGAATTTGACGTTAGATTTGTAAAAAAAAACCCTAATTTTTCAAAATGGCCACCGGTTTAGGCTCAAAGTGGCCGAAAATTTGACAAACTCGATTTTTTGTCAATGGATTCACCTGAAATTCGGTATCTGGGGGTATTTTGACCCGAGAAGAACGAATTCGACGTTAGATTTTTAAACAAATCCTAATTTTTCAAAATGGCCGCCGATTAAAGTTCAAAATGGTCAACAATTGGCAACCTCGACTTTTTGCCAATGGATTCGCCTGAAACTCGGTGTTTGGGGGTATCTGGGTAGGAGGAAAACGATAAGCTAAGAATCCATCGGCAAAAAGTCGAGGTTGCCAATTGTTGACCATTTTGAACTTTAATCGGCGGCCATTTTGAAAAATTAGGGTTTGTTTAAAAATCCAACGTCGAATTCGTTCTTCTCGGGTTAAAATACCCCCAGATACCGAATTACAGGTGAATCCATTGGCAAAAAATCGAGTTTGTCAAATTTTCGGCCACTTTGAGCCTAAACTGGCGGCCATTTTGAAAAATTTGGGTTTTTTTTTACAAATTTAACGTCAAATTCGTTTTTCTCGTGCCAAAATACCCCGTATCACCAAGTTTCAAGCAAATCCGTGTGCAAATAATAGAGGTGCCAATTTTCGGCCATTTTGAACTTTGACCGGCCGTCATTTTGAAACGGTTTGAGATAATGACTTCGGGTTTGCGCGAAAATTTTTCTTTTTTTATGCTCTTTCGAACAAGGTTTCACAAAGGGGGTCTTCTGATTTGAAAAAAAAAGTTAGGGTCCGTAACCCCCCCAAAATTATTTTTTTTTTGGGTGGGGGGTCAAAAAGTAGCTCCCTTTGATCTAGGAACACCCTCCAAGTTTCAAATCTCTACCTCAATCAGGTCAAAAGTTAGAGAGGGGGGATGGGACTTTTCGAACACCCTGTATTCAATGCAATTGAGGACACCGCACCAAGAACAGCCTATAGGCGTATAGGTCGTTATTACGCCCATCTGCTTTTCGGATTCTACGTACCCTGGACTATGCTGTGGTAGCGATAGAATATAGATAGAAAACGGCTCGAGGTCGAAAAACCTTTTTTTTCCGAGTTAAGTCAGGCCTCTGCATCGATGGGTGCAAGAACGACCTATAAACGGGCCTATAAACTTAAGGGTCTATAAGGTGCTAGTTACCCCTTTCTTTACTCACTATCAATATTCTTTCATTTTGCGTTAATCATGCGTGATTAAAATGATTCATACTTCATATTGCCACCAAAATGACTGTTGGGCGTAATAATGGCCTATAAACCGCTTTTTTAAATTAAATATATTAGAGTGTAAACCCAAAATTTATCGCAAAATCTACTCGGCATCCTTCAATAAAAGGGTTAGGTCACCCAAAAACACCAAAACAGGGCTTCTGCATAGAAAATTCTGCGCAGTACATCAAAAACAAAACTTTAAATGCGTTTTTCTCAAAACGCGGTTTCCAGTTATAGGCTGTTCTTGGTGGGATGTCCTCAATTGCATTTATATCGAGTCAATTTTTTTTCAATAATATAACAGGATTCATACTACCTGTGATTTGGGTATTTTAGTCTCAAAATACCCTTAAATCGACTTTATCTTTCAAGAGTTCAGTTCTCTTCAAGAATCTGATAAGATTTTGCTTGAGGCAGATCAAAAAACTTGAATTCGTTCGAATAGCTTTCTACATTCACAATACACGGTCTCGTCAAGGTGCGTCGTTGACCTCACAGTGTTGGATTGTGAATTCTCTTGTTGTGCTGTTTGCCTATTTTGAAATTTCTGTAAATGAAAAATAAAGGGGTTGATATGTACGAGTTAATGACGCGCCTTATCAACACATTGTGTTGGAGTTCATTGCTTGTTTTTTTCTTGGTTAACCTCGAACAAAATAGAAAAATCTCAAAAATTAATTCAATCAAAATAATCATCAATTTAATTTCTCTATGAAATATTTAATTATTGAGGAGTTAAAGTAGCCTCATCAAAACTGATTTCAATTTAGTGCTTATTTTTAATCTCCCTCACTTTCAGAGGCTTGAAGAGGTAAATCATGTAACTCATCGAGTAATTTCCAATTATCTCTCTCTAAGTGTGTGTTTGTTGTACACTTACTCAAGAAAAAAAGCAACAGTACATTTTTTTCCATTTTACGTCGGAGGGTGCTTTCTAATCAATTTTCTTTGATTGTCTAATCTTTTAAATGTGTTATTTCAATTTTTTCAGGCATCTTGCTGAATTTAATCTTTTCTATTTTAACATCTGTCAGCTACCACCCAATCCTCTTACAACTCATTATTTACTGTCCATCCAGCTTCACCTACGGTGAAGCATCAATTGTTGCTCAAGCGTGCCTTTTATTTCTCGTTTCATCTTTCATCAACATTTCCTCAGCTGTGATTTATCCTTGTAAAACTTGTTTCGAAATCGCCACATTAATCTTGCAAGTAAGTATTTCTCCACCTTAGTTCCTCTTCAATGGAGATGTTGCATGTGTGAGGAATTTGTGGTTTGACTGTTGATTCTTGTGTAAAAGTTCACGAGAAACACGATGGTGCCACTGGTTTTCTCTGAAATCAACTCCCAAGCTCAATAAACGCTCTCTAGTTGAGCCCAAATGGGCCTGTTGCAAACTTTTGCTAGAGCAAAAATAAGAGTTGTTTCTTATAGATAATGCCTCAAAAATCACGATGAGCGCATCGGCAAAGTATGAAATGCACTCATAACTTCACAGTCTGCGTAAGAAATTAGCGGTTTTTTGAGCTTCCCGCTTCAAAAACGATACTACGGCACAGGTGAACATTTTGTGAGAGGAGTCGTTCCATCGTCGGCAATAATCATCATGGCCGACGCCAATCCGCCAAAACACGTTTGATGGGACGAGATAACACCTGAACTGGATGAGACCAGATAACAATCGGTGTGTTAACGTTCATATTTTCCACGCCCGAATTGATTGACCTTGAACTCTCCTCGAATTACGCGCGGAACTGCGCGCAAGCGTCGGCCGTGATGAATATCGCCGACGATGGAGCGACTCCTCTAACAAAATGTTCACGTGTGCCGTAGTATCGTTTTTGAAGCGGGAAGCTTAAAAAAACGCAAATTTCTTACGCAGATTGTGAAGTTATGAGTGCATTTCAGACTTTGCCGATGCGCTCATCGTGATTTTTGAGGCATTATCTACAAGAAACAACTCTTATTTTTGCTCTAGCAAAAGTTTGCAATAGGCCCATTGGAGGGGATATCCCACGCTATCCTGAGAGTCTACCTCTACATCAAGACAATCTCTCCATGCAAAGATAGGGAGCAAATACATTGACAGGGCTGCCTTTTTATTTGGAGACTCCAAATCTGAAACAAGGCAACCCTGCTAATGTATTTGCTCCCTATCTTTGCATGGAGAGTTTGTCTTGATGTAGAGGTGGACTCTCAGGATAGCGTGGGCTATTCCCTCCATTTTGGCCTCAACTTGAGAGCTTTTTTTGAGCTTGGGAGTTGATTTCAGAGAAAACCAGTGGCACCATCGTGTTTCTCGCGAACTTTAACGTAAGAATCGGTAGTCAAATTGCAAATCCCTCACTTATGCAACAGTTCCATTCTTATTATCGATCCACCTCTCCTTCAGACTCATTCCAGGCCTATGTTTACCCCTAATTTTTTATTGTAAATTTGTAACATATTGGTAGCACTACTTCATTGAACTTGTTAGGTAGGTGCGTAGCCAAAGTACTAAAAAAATGTGCAAGTGTTACCTTGCATAAACTAGTTTATTGGTATAGTTTTTGGTCAAAGCTTTTCGGCATAATTGCCATCGTCAGGACCTTTATTTTGAGAAAACATAATTTAAATACATTTCTTCCAATTAACAATCAATAAATTTGATAGGCACTTGTTGATTAGGTAGGAATGTAAATTTAGATTAGATGTTTCAAGGATTAATCACAGAGTTCAGCTTATCTTTCATACAATTGGTTTTTTGCCAAATCTTATTCCCGTTTGGACTCTTAGTAAATTATAATTCTTTTTAACTGCCTTGACAATTTCAAACTTTTTTAAATCTGACAATAATTTTCTGTCATTGCAATTGTGTAAAATTTTAACATCGGTGTCGTTAATTACGTAATTTTCATATTTTATATGCCTGTATCCATTTGAGGATTTCAACTCTGTATGTTCTTTAAAACGGCATGTTATAGACCTCTCCGTTTTTCCAATGTATTTTTTGTTACAAGTATTACATTCCATTTGGCACATCCCTGCGATATTTTTGTCATTGGATACATAAGACATATTTGAATTAGTTTTTTTACACCTGTTGACACTTTTTAGTTTATTTTCCGAAGAAAATACACTATTGCATTCCCCCATGATGTCGGACCAGGACCCCGAGACCTTGTGGAGAGCACCGATCACGGGTCGTAGATCACGAAAATATATGCCATTCAAATTCATGTGTAAATATATATATTTACACTAGGGGGCCCTGCCCCCTGACCGCTACGCGGCCCAACCCCCGGGAGGGCGCCTCGCACCCTCAGGCCCGCTTTGCGAGGCCTATATACGCATATGTATAGGCAAAAATGTTCTTCCATTTTAATACACCATTTAGCTGCGTGTTCGAGCTGCATCGATTTCCAAATTTTTGACGTAACACTCAGATTTGTAAATGATGAGGAATAGCTGGATGTACATAATTTCACAGTCCACTTACTGGAGAAATTTCCATTTATTATGTTATTTTTAAATACTTAATTTAAAAAAAAATCGGATTTCGACCGTTAAGAGTTAAAAATATTTGGTCCGTCCCGACGCAACGCAGCGCCTGCCTTCTCACTTTGTATCTGCTGTAAATATTAATAGAAATTCAGCAATCAAGTAAATTGACCAATGCCACAAATCGAAGCCGGAAGAATGCAGGAAAAATTGAGTTAAACCTTATACCTTGGACCTTGAACCTTGAACCCTGAGCGATGCACCGTTCCTCAACTCTTCGAATGAGGAGCCCTTCACGAGCTTTTCCATTGTTTTATTGTTTACCCGAGTCACTCAGGTAGAATCCCACACCTTGACGTTTCTAGCGGAAACGACTTATCTCTCACGCTATTAACATTGGATTTAAGTGACATGAGCTTTAAAGCTCTACAACATTAAAAGTACGGGGTTTCATAATTTTTTGCACATCTACATCTACTACAGATGACATACATGTAAAGATCATCCTTATCGGTCCGGCAGTTCGTCAGAAATAGTGCTTCCAAGATTTTGCTTGTAGCTGTATTATATGTATAGATATGTATGTATGTATTTCCGCCTTTTTAAGATTTTTCGATTTTTGAGTAGTTATATCTTTCTTACGTTGAAAGACATTTTGACTAATGTTTTTGCATTTAGTAGAGACTTATTAGCACTACTATTCTGCGAAAAAATATTGTAATTTGAGGCAATAGATTTTGAGGGGTGGGGTAGGCCGGGTTGAAAAAATGCAATTTTTTTCCGGAAATGAATAATGTTGAAAAAAAGTTGTATTACCATGTCAGAATAACGTATACAAAATTTGAAGCGCCTAAGTCAACTCTAGACCCCTCCGCCTTAGCGATTTAGGCGTAAATTTTAAAAATATATTTTAGAGGACGAAAATAGGTCATTTCTAGTAGATTCTCCCGAGTTACTGGCCTTTAGGGCGAAAATTTTAAGCGTTTTGCCGTATTCTGAGTGGTTAAACGACTAACCGGCGAGCGTATCATAATAAAGCAGCGACGCCGCAGGCCGCGCCGCCGCGTCGCGGCGCCTACGCTTGCCCCTAGCGCGACGCGCGGCTGAATACCTTCCGTTAGCCACTGATCGGGCGCCTAAAGGAGGAGAATGAATGTATAATCGCGGTTAAAACTGATTTCTCCATAAATCGAACCCTTTCCCTCAACATTCGGATGTTCACCTTAAAGATCACCTATTTTTATACCTTCCTCAACAAAGACAGCTTGAAGTGTGCAGAGTTCAGCCTATTTTTTCAATTTCCTTATTGATTGAATGGGATCAAGGAAATTGCAAAAATAGTTACCAGAGCTCACCACGTGGAGGTAACTGCACTTTGAGCTCCATCCCCCCTTTGTTTTTAGTTCCTTTTGATCTACAGTTCTAGTGTCATCTTCATTAAATAAATTAGAATACTGTAATACGGTGAGATTTTGAGGATCACATAAATTCTAGTGTTTCTTAGGAACATTTGAATGTCAAAGTCTTGACTTCATATGTATTTTGATGTTTTCGTTCATTCATGATTTCCTATTATAATATCAAAATCGGAAATCTGATTTGCTTTCAAAAGAGGGCATTCGCTTCCTACTTTTCATCCGTTGTAAAATTTGAAGATGACGTTCGTCTTCTGTGCTAGCGAGGGTTGATGCATAAGTCACCTCCTTCACACATCTTTCCACGGCTTGTGTGTGACATGGGAAATCAAGTTTAAAAATGGCGCCTTCTCTTGCGAAACGTTGTAATTTTCTGCAAGGTCTAGATCTGATAGAACAGGTGGCTCTGTCACAGTCACTTTGCCAATTTGTTCCATTGCACTAAGGATGAATAATCCTCTGCTTCAAAGTTCAGTTTCGGAATCGTGAGGATTCGTGTTTCTTTTGGTTTGGTCTTGCGTGCTTCTGTAATTTTTTCCCATGCATCTATTCGTACTTCTGTGATCTTCTGTGATTTCTTTCTTGTGTGGTTCGTCTGTGATCATAGCCAGGAGGATGTTCTCAGGATGTCCGAAATAACCGTTTCTTTGTATAACAGGGTCTACGATATCCTTTAATTATTGTGGCAGATACCTACCGGGACCAACTGATCAGCTTCCATAAAGTTGGCGCTCTATCTTGAATCGAGTGGTTTCTTTTGATTGAAAACCACAATGGAGCAAACACTTTTTGAATGAACTCAACTAGTGTTTTCAAATTTTCGGACGGGGTTTCTGTTGAAATGTAGAGCCTCAGAAGTCTACAAGCAGTTGTGACCCATCTTGTGTGAGCCATTTTTCCGGGAGTTCTCCTTGCAAGGCTCTCCTCGCAAAATCCTTCTGACACTGCCACGGAAATCAGGAGCAAATATTGCTGATCACTGCTGAGGGTTTTGGGGTTGACAAAATCCAAGTCCAACATCGTGAAAACTGGTTCAAATTCGATCACTGGAAGGGTGTGACAGTTTTTGAGTTTCAATCCAATGGGGCCCGCGAATGAATAAGGACCTTTGATTTGACCGTCCAAATTTTCAATGAGGTGTCTTAATGGCAATTCGTTGCAATGCAGTTGGCAAATGCTTCTTTGCAGTGGACGCTTTAATCTTAGTTCAAGAAGCCGCACTATACCTCCTTTGTTGCCGGTGTTAACATTAGTACCATCGCACCCGATAATCTTTACATCTGACGCTTTGATTCCATTTTTCGATAAAAAATCAATAATTGCAATTGTTATGTCCTTTGCGGTACCGCTACTGGGAGTGACAAATCCTAAGTACCGCGATCCAGGTTCTTGAACAAGCACGATGTGTTCTTCCATGGTTTTGGATTGATAAGTCCTCTTCCCATCGGTCTGTAACTGCATCGTCTCGTCCTTTCTTCCGTCAAAGTACAGTCCCTCAATTGCGCTTTTGGATTTCTTTTCAACGTCGGCTATTTTCTTGAGCATTTTCTTCTTCTGACGCTTTAAGTAAATCCGGTCTACAACTTTAGATTTGTCCGTCGCGTTAATTAATTTAGCATCTACTAAAGTTGCTGTGACAATCATAGCAGCAGCTCCAGTGGGCACACCAGTTCTTGCAAGAATTTCAGTCACTGTTGGTAATTGCAAACGCATTTGCCCCGATAATGATTTGCGCACATTAGAATTGATGTCGATTTTTTCCTGACGAAGCATGTCCAATTCTGAACCGATCGAGTTACCACCATCTGTTGAAAATCCTTGATGAGACGTTGGTGAGAGCGGTTCTTCATCTGAAACCTGAATTTCTGGATCGGGTTCCTTGTCAATTTCAGAGTTCCTTGCTTCGTGACTCCTTTGCGACGATACTCTCCTCGCTCTTTTCAGCAAAACTCCTGTCTCCTTGATATCAACGCCGCCGATTGCCAAAAGCCGCTTAGTCCGTTGATCGATTAAAAACGACACTTCTTTTTCGGGAACTTTTGAACCTTTTTTGCAAGTACATTTTTTAATTTGCTGACACTTGCAAGTGCAAATATCCATTGATTTCCGCGAATTTGTTTTAAAATCGTCAATTCTCTTCGTAAGTGACGCGCCTTTATGAGGTTTACACGCACTCCTCTTAATGTCACCGCACTTTTGATGATACCGTATGATCGCAGCTTTAACGGCACTCTCCGTAACGGTAGGGATTGAAGCTCTCCTCCAAATTTCACACAGTTTTTTCGCGACGGACGAAGCAATCATATGGATTGTAGGTCCCCGGCCACTATTTTCGGCTCGTAAAAGTTCACGAGTGTAATAAAAGAACTTCATCACCTCCCGGCTTGTTGGCAGCATTGAACCACTTAAGGGTGCGGAAACACCAAAAAAAGGGCACTCGATCGTGCTTCTCGTCACTTTCTTCACCATTTTAAAATGTTCAGTCAACATTCGCGTGATATTTGTCGACGGATCAACAGCTTTAATCAACTAAACCGACAACTAACGACATAGTCAAATTGCACAATTCGACGGGCTCGTTCACTCGATGTTCGTCGTTCAAATGATAAGGCGAAACTAAATCTTGTGACTGAATACAAGACAAGCGTAGGAACTTCAAACTTTAGGATGGGTTTTTACCCCCAGTTGGCAGCCAATCAGGTGATAGTATTCATCTAGGAATGACCCAGGTCAGGCGGTGGGTTTTCAAGAGTCTTACGCCGGTGGTAAAACCCGCCCTCGCGCTGACTTCAACGTCATGCATCGCATGCATCCTTATGCCGAGCTCCAAGTGGTATTTCAGCAGCTGAGAACTGTTAAACTGGTCCGGCGAAATGAGAGCAAATTAACTATTTTTGCAATTTCCTTAATCCCATTCAATCAATAAGGAAATTGAAAAAATAGGCTGAACTCTGCACACTTCAAGCTTTCTTTGTTGAGGAAGGTATAAAAATAGGTGATCTTTAAGGTGAACATTCGAATGTTGAGGGAAAGGGTTCGATTCATAAAGGAATCAGTTTTAACCGCGATTATACATTCATTCCCCTCCTTTATGCGACCGATCAGTGGCTAACGGAAGGTATTCAGCCGCGGGCCCAACTTTATTGATTGTTAATTGGAAGAAATGTATTTAAATTTTGTTTTCTCAATACAAAGGTCCTAACAATGGCAATGATGCCGAAAAGCTTTGACCAAAAAGTATTTTAACAAACCATTTTATGCAAGTAAACACTTGCGAATTTCTTTAGCTTTTTGGTCACACACCCACCTAATAATTAATTTTTCAAGTTGTCCATGGTCCAGTACTTTATAATTCAATCAATTAGGTGTACAGTTAGTCGAATCCTTGAAAAAACCTCAGAACACAATGTGGGCCCATAAAATGCTGTTATTTTGTTAGGGTGTTAACCATGCGTGCGTTTTGGTAACAGAGTGTGCAAACTTTTTGAGGATGTGACGAATTTGTTCAGTCTCCTGTTATTTTGTTTGCAGCCAGTTAGGCAGTGACAAAAAGCTATTGCTCAGACATCGGCTGGTTTCCCTCATCCTGTAGCTCTGAAAACTCACTCTCTCCTAATAGCAGCTGATCAATCTCAGAACTTTTGAGGTAGTGACAAAACCTAACTGTTGGACACTCATTAGTTTTAAAGAAAAGGTCTAGCTTTAAAAATGAAACCTTATATGGACTGACCCTTCTGAATTTGATCAAGGGCTCTTACCGGACTATGAAAATTTAAAATATGTTTATCTAACCCCACTCAGTTCCAAAGAACCTTTCAATTTTTTCAATAATTGAAATCATACTTCTTTCATATCTGGACTTCTCATTTGAGAAGGAGAAATCATAAATTTTGAGATCTCATTTTTACTGCATTAGGCATATGACTCATCTGGAATTACATCTCATTTTTAAGAAATCAAATATTAATCTATACCTTTATTTTTCTTGCAGGTTGGACTAATAGGAATCTTAATTATTTGCATTTCCTGCTTCATGATCAGATCACTTCGACACACATTATCCTTCTATACATTCTCGCTTGGAATATTTGTAGGCGGAATTATTCCTGCCCTGCACTTTCTCCTAGGTTTCAGCCCTTTACTCTGGATAATAGACTTACTCACTAAAGATGTATTAACAGTAAGTTTTATTCTATCTCTCTGTTTTTAGACTCTTGGTGCAACATGCTAGGTACTAGACAAGATCGGAACTAGAAAATAACCTTCGACATTTTTCGTAGCAATTGATTCACTCAACGAGGAGTTTGGAAATTAACTCCTGAATAAGGAATGGGCCTGTTGCAAACTTTTGCTAGAGCAAATATAAGAGTTGTTTCCTACAGATGATGCCTCAAAAATCACGATGGGCGCATCGGCAAAGTCTGAAATGCACTCATAACTTCACAATCTGCGTAAGAAATTTGCGTTTTTTTGAGCTTCCCGCTTCAAAAACGATACTACGGCACAGGTGAACATTTTGTCAGAGGAGTCGTTCCATCGTCGGCAATGTTCATCATGGCCGACGCTTCCGCAGTTCCGCGCGTAATTCGAGGTGAGTTCAGGGTCAATCAAGGCGGGCGAGGAAAATATGAACGTAAACACGCCGATTGTTATCTGGTCTAATGCTGCTCAGGTGTTAGCTCGTCTCATCATACGTGTTTTGGCGAATTGGCGTCGGCCATGATGAATATTGCCGACGATGGAACGCCTCCTCTAACAAAATGTTCACCTGTGCCGTAGTATCGTTTTTGAAGCGGGAAGCTCAAAAAACCGCAACTTTCTTACGCAGATTGTGAAGTTATGAGTGCATTTCAACTTTGCCAATGCGCTCATCGTGATTTTTGAGGCATTATCTATAAGAAACAAATCTTAGTTTTGATATAGCAAAAGTTTGCAACAGGCCCATTGATCAACATTTTTGACACATATCAAATGGAAGTCTAATTATACTCATGAACGATAGAATACTATCGTTGAAGGAACCCTAGAAACCTTTAGCATTTTGTTGGATAAATTATAATCTCTTAAAAGCCTTACTGCAATGTCTTTTAAGTTAGAAAGTACTTTGCAGAAATGCTCTTAGGAGATTGAATTGAAATATTAATGAAATTCAGTTTGGTTTTCCTTGTTTGTCTCACTCTTCATTGCTGTCATGTTTTAGGTTGTCCTCGTCAGTTACTGGATCCTTTGTTGTGCAGCTGCAGTTTTAATTATAGCAATTCAAATAAAAATGAGCACCAAAGCATCTACATCAGTCAGAAAATACTTTCATGTTTTAGCAGTTTCCGTTTTCACTCCTGGACTAGTGGTCAATCCGTGCCTTATATATTTATCCAGTGGAATCGTGTTTGCACTCTTCATTAGCATCGAGGTATAACCCATTAGTGGCTGTAGCAAAGTGTTTCACTTTAATGAATCTTAAATTCGTCGAGGATCTGAAGGATTTCAATTAAATAAAAATCCTCCCAACTAAGCCCCCCTCCCCCTGCCATTGTGGAGACTATTTCTTTCTCTGCTTTGAAAGTAACTAAGTTTATTGTTGACATTTTTCGTTGGTACCACCCAAAATGTTAATTGTTAGGTATTGATTGGTACTGAATTTCGTGCTGGCACAAAAAAGTCGTTGGTGTCTTGTTGATGACGATTGGTTGGTACTTTTCTTTTTTTTGTTTAGATATTGGTGGTCCTAACCATTTCATTGAAATTAGAAAGAGATTTGATTACAATTAGGTGGGGACTTAATCTTCATGATGAAAATACCCACTCTTTTATGGATGGTCTGATACCATTCTCTCCCTTTTTTTCATTCCATTATTTTTGTTATGGAGGGGAGGGGACTTGAGGGTCATTCCATGCCTAGGTAGTCCAGAGGGTATTTTTTTCCCCTTTCAAATGACCCAACAATATTTATTTTTGGACTCCTTAATACTTCTAGTTTTGGGAAACATATGGGGTTTACCTGAGTTTTGTTTTTTTTTCTAGCAATTTTTAAGTGTTGTGTAACCCTGTCGCTTAGCCTCATCCTACTGTAAAAAGAGTGACAATTTGGCAGCACTGTTTTCTGATGTTACCACCAAAACCAAGTTTGAGTTTATGTTTATATTTGTCAAGAAACAGATAACATGTGCCCCTGCAAAGTTTCAACTTTCAAAAATCATTACTGTTTATTATATGTAACTTTTAAAACTTAATGTACTGGCGGTCACACCCGTAACACAAAACAGGGGTTTTTCTGTGTAACTATTTTAATTCATGTAATTTTGAGATGACAATTTTTTCCCTACATCTTTAAGTCGAGTACAACTTCAGAGTATTTTTTCCAAATTTTTATGGCAACAATTAATGGGTAAAAATGTGTTACAGGTGTGACACATTACGGGTGTGACCAATGAGAGAGTGTGAGAGATGTCGCCTCCTTTTTCACTATTTTTTCTATGCTTATCACGAGACATACACTCACATGCATAATTAGAGCTTATGTCTACACCTAATGAGAAAGAAATGGCCAACACTTTTGCCATATTTCAGTATTTAAAGTGAATACACCTTATCTCAAAAGGACTTCAAATAGGACCCGTTAGACTTTCTCCAATTTGATTTAAATATTTTCACTTTTATATTGGTAGAATCTTGAGCTACATCTTTTAACAAGAAATGCAGTTTCTTTATTTAAGAAGACTCAAAATTATCTAGAAGTCATACTGACACCGAATGTGACTTGCGTCTTGCCCGTAATGAAAAATAAGTGGTATTCTAAAAGAAAAAGGCATTAAATTGAAACTTATTGTAAGAAGTTGAGGCACATATCCTTGAGCTAGGCATCGATACATATTACCTACCACCAAAAAAAAAAAAAAAGATAAATAAATAAATAAATACTAGCTGCTTCAGCTCGCTACGCTCGCTTGCGCCGCTAGCCGGGGGCAAGCCCCCTGGACCCTCAGTTGCTCGCTCTGCAAGTAACTGTTGGCTCGCTTCGCGAGCCAAATTTTGCTACTACCAGTGCTTAGAGGACTTCTTGGAGGCAAAATGATAAATTCAAAAACAAAGAATAGGAAACTAAAAATTACCTACTTTTAGAAAAAGAAACAACCTTGAAAAATAAATAACACTCCTGGAAAAGAAAATCAGAACACTTTTTGAAAATGTAACGGTGCGAAAGGGTGAAGATAAATCACCAATTCTCTTGGAAGAAGACATGAGCCGACCCCCGACATGAGTGAAACTGCCGTAGGACCCATGCTAGGGTAGAAGGGTGCACGTGTTGTGAGCAGGTAGGGATGGGTTTACGTGGAGAGGGAAACGGAAAATCAGAGGGTGGGAGGTCCCCCAACCATATGACTCGTCCAGCGTCAAAAACGCAAATATGTCGTTATCAAATCGAGGTAAATTTTGCAACTTCGGTCGCGCAGATTGAAAAACGAAGGGGTCTTGGCACATCTAGACCCTATGAGCTTTCATTTAAAACAAATCCGAGGAAAATCGGTCCAGTAGTTTCCGAGATCGAATTAGCACAAACTGTCCAGCGTCAAAAATGCAAATATGTCGTTATCAAATCAAGGTAAATTTTGCAACGTCGGTCGCGCAAATCGAAAAACTAAGGAATGTTGGCACGTCTACAGCCTAAGAGCTTTCATTTAAAACAAATCCGAGGAAAATCGGTCCAGTAGTTTCCGAGATCGAATTAGCACAAACTGTCCAGCGTCAAAAATGCAAATATGTCGTTATCAAATCGAGGTAAATTTTGCAACGTCGGTCGCGCAAATCGAAAAACCAAGGGATGTTGGCACGCCTACAGCGTAAGAGCTTCCATTTAAAACAAATCGGAGGAAAATCGGTCCAGTAGTTTCTGAGATCGAATTAGCACAAACTGTTGGAGGCCAAAAAAGGCCTTAGGATATTAAATATATAGATAATAAAATTATCTACCTCTCTGAGGTCCATCAATTCTGAGAGAGTTTAAAAGTTAAAAAACTTAATTTTTTCTCATACTCTTTTTGTAGGCAATCCTAAGCAATAAATCAATCAGCGATTAGATGCCTTTTAATGTAGAACATGCCAAAACTACATTTTTCTACAGGGTGGGCCAGACCTACCGTGCCAGGGCTTTTTTTCGGTTAATTTAGGTTGTACGGAGTCCAGGACCGTGGGTTATAATGGGGAATCGACCCTTCGGTATCCTAATTTCTTGGTCCAAGAGTCCCCCCGGCTTCCCTGGGGGGGGGGGGAGGGGGGCTGAAAGTGGGGGTCTTATTGAAATTATTTAATCGGAAGCAGAGAGTACGGAATTATTTAACTTACATCGACACCAAGAAATCCAAAATCGCCCCATCCGTCTCCAAAATACTGACCCCTAAAAGTGGGGGACAGAGCCCCCTTTAAAAAAATTCAAGTTCGTTAAATTGACGTGGCGACTCGAAAAAAATGTGTGTTCATAGGTAATCGACCCCAAGGAATCCAAATTTGAGGGCCCCGTTGTCCTCAGAGACTTTTCTGATGGGGCACAGGGGGAACCCCCCCCCCCC